CCGGGGACCTGGGAGAGAGAATGGGGGAGAGCAGCCAGTAGCAAAGGGAACAGAGTATGAGGTAGGGAGCAGCGGAGGAGGAGGCTCTTGGCTAGGCATCAAGGTGTGAAGGAGGACACAGATAACTCAGATGAGCAAAGCTAGTGGGATTCCCCCAGGCGAGTGTGAGAAGTCACTTGCTTCTCAGGCCTTCAACCTGATCTGGTTGGAGTGATTTGGGCTCACAAAACCCAAGCTTGGCTGGGGAACAGCTCCCTGCTCTGAGCAAGGATGACAGCTGGCACCGCCTGAGGGTCACGGTGACCCGGCATTTAGCAGAGCTCTCCTTCCGGATGATCTCAGTGCCTGCTCCCCACAATCACCCCCACACTGCAGATGAAGACGCTGAGGCCCGGATGGCTGGGCCACAAGCCCAAGACCACAGAGCCCGAAAGCCGCAGAGCGGCCTGTCTCAGGATCCCCAAGTCATGTGCTCAGGGACTTACAGTCACAGTGACAGGGCTGTTCTCCTTGCTGGTGGCTGCGGGGAGGGGTGTGTGAGGGATAGAGGACCTGGGGGGGATGAGTCAGCCTGAATCCAGAGTGTTCAAAGCTCCTCTTTCTTCCAGTATCCAGCTGAGATATGGATCCGCCTGGAGTGAAATATATGGCGTCTCAGGTGGGCGTGCCCAGGAATTCATCCTGCAGCCAGATGAGTACATTATAGGGCTGGTCGGCTCACACAGGGTCTACCTCCGCTACCTGGTTGTGTATACCAACTTGGGGCGCTGGGCCCCATTCGGGCAGGAGAGTGGCCGCAGTTTCGTCGTCTACCCCAGCGAGCCTGGCAAGGTGCTCACAGGAGTCTTCGGCCAGACTCAGCTCCTTGGCATCACAGGCATCGGTTTTAAATGGGATTATCCTCTAGCAGCCTCAGGAGTGTCTACACCACCAAGCACAACCCAGAATACTGAAGTAACTGGCTGATACGCCAAGGTCTCCGCTTGGTCCCTGGTCAGGGCACATACAAGAATCAGCCAATGAATGCATAAATAAGTGAACAACAAATCTCTCTCTCTCTCTTTCTCTCTCTCTCTCTCTCTCTCTCTCTCTCTCTAGTTAATTAATAAAAAAAATTAAAAAGAATAACTAAATAACGCCATAAAAAATGAGTACTCCCGGGTCCCCAGGGCTGGGGGCATGGGTCACCCTGTGGAGGCCGTTGGGCTGGTGGTAGTCCTGGGATAGCCAAGTTGGGGCGCTGAATCAGAATCCCCCAAATAAAGCTTCTGCTGCAGGAACAGGGTGTCCAGGTGTGGTCCTTGGGTCTGTGTACAACAAAGCCCTCTGAGCGTGTGGGGAATCTGGCCTCTGGGTTAGAGCTCAGGGAACGGAGCTGCAGGATGAGACAGGAGGTGGGTCTGACACCCCAGGCCCCGGCGATTCTGCTGAGGATGCAGGACCGATCTTGGGCTGGTTCCACAATTTTTGAGGATTCTGGGCTCCAACGATGCCCTCCAGCCCTGCTCGCCAACCCAAGCCCAGCCGACGGGCCTAGGCCTTGTCCAGGTATCTTGAAATATACACTCATCTCTACTTCAAAGTGATGGGTGTTTTAGACGTGTCTTTCAAGGTGTCAGTAGTAACAGCACAGAAATACACAGAACACGTATCAGCAACGTTCTGACAGGTGCATCGGAGGTAGCTGCACAGGACCCCCTTGTCCTCCGACGTGGGGGAGGCGCACCTTGCATCCCAGGCATAACACACCTTGCACCCCTCCTCCTTCCTGCTCCTCCGGGCTTGAGGGCCCTGCTGTTGCATAATGAGTTTCTTGCCCTTGATTTGCTAAAAGGGAAACCTGTTTTCAGTTATAAAGGGATTCTTGACCCCTTTCACGGGTGCTCACCTTTCCCTGCTTCCCAAAACCTCCTGGTGTGGCCACAGGATGGTCAGAGATGGGAGAGCACTAACAGTCATTGCCTGTGACAGGGATCAGGCAGGATGAGAGGAGGGACAGGAGAGTGGGGAGAGGAAGGGGAGGGGGAGGAGGACAGACAATGGCACCAGCTCAGGGGCTGTTGGGCAGACAAATTGTGCAGCACAGTGGGCGGCACCGTCGATCTTTATTTGTGGAGGAGTTCTCAGGAATCCTCCATCCTTCCCACAGCACGCCCAGCGCGTCCCCCTGCCACGCTCTGCCTGGCACCTCGGACCCAGGTGCTGGTTCAGAGGCCCCGCCTGTGCTCAGGACGTGGGGGTCATCAGGGTGCAACCCTCGCATAGTGCCGGGGTCCAGGGCCAGACCCGTGGGCGTGGGAGCTTGGGGGCGCCCAGGCCCACCCCCTGTGGTGACAAGGACCACGCAGGCTCTGGTATGTGCAGGACCTTTAAGACTCAACACGGGCATTCAGGGTCTCTCTGGCCATGCTCATTGGTACTCGCCCGAGTCACCTGGACGCCCGGCTCTGCCAGGTGAGCGAGCGCCAGGTGGGACCCAGGACCCTCAGGCCACCTCCCTGGGACCCCTTCCCCGCGCTGGGTCCTGGGCGGGCGGACAGCTTCTCGGGGCAGATCGCCACCTGAAGCCGATCCTAGACGGCAGAAGAGTCCCTCCCTGCTGGCCGCTGGCTGACAGGAGCTGGGGGCGGCGGCTGGAGGAGGGGCGCCCAAC